ATTATAGTCACTCTTAAAAATAACTCCTGTGATTTCTGTCTCATAATGGGACCCTGACTGACACAGAAGTTAGGTATAGGTAATATTTTAGTAACTTGTATTTCATTATATACATGCATGTGTACAAAATGGATTGATATAAAATGTACCATAGGATCAAAAATTTGGATATACATTAGCCTAACATGTAGATTATAAGAAAAAAATATTTACCTAAGTCTCAGTTGCATGCATATCTACATTGCCTTCCTGTTTATTTTAAACAAATAAAGAAACTCAAAGAAAAACATTCAAAGAACTCCACCCAATACAAACTTCCATCTACAAAGGAGAAAAAAAGGTAACAGTAAATGAGAGGTACTCTATTTTTTAAGGCTTGAATGTGGTTTCTTTTAGGACTTAGGAAGATGTGTTAATTTGTATGAGTACATTGTGTGATACGAATTCAGAGCGCCTAAACAAATTCTGGGTTTTCTTTTAAAAAGCACTTGTCACTGCCAGTCATATTTATGGGCAGAGTTGCTTGTGTCTGGCAATTATGGGAAAAGACTACTGAGATAGGCTTATCTTTCAACTATTTAAATATTTCCTACTAACCTAGCAATAACTTTACCTAATAGCTCACTAACGCCCCTGTAAAGTCAATGTCTTTTAGAGTTTGCTTCATGACCAAAGTTAGTGCTATCTATAAAGGGGGTTCTAGGCTGAGAAAGTAGAAAACAACATATAACATGTGCATACCTGAGCATTATCACAGCACTATAAAATATGAGGCTCATTCTTTTATTTGTCATCATGAAATTACAGAAAACATTTTGTTGATTTCATATATATGAACACATACATACTTTACAGGGTGTCTAGAAATTTTGAAAATACAGGGCCAATTATTTCATTTTTTATTATAGAGCTATTCATATGTGACTATATAGTTTATCACCCAAACTGGGTCATTTTGAATACAAGGGAGAGGTAACTGCCTAGGACCCTAAGATAGATTGTATGGTTACCAAACTCATGTAAGAAGTCAGCCTCCAAAGATGCATTTACATATCAACTAAAAGAACTATGACATAATGGAGATTAAGTCAACACATGTTAAGTAAAATGAAAAAAAAGTATGATAAATAGTACTCTGTGCTTCTAAGTATCTTGCATGTAAATACGTAATTTCTATGTCACACAGAGTCTTATTCCATGATGTATCCTTTGACATTGCTCAGAATAGCTAGAATATTTGTAAAAATAAAGCACACATGGCAATCCTGAGATTGTGCCTCTTAGATCTTGGACTGCATTTGCATGAAGGCCACAGGCTGCTTGCAACCAATTGCTGAGCACAACAGGAATACTAGAGTGAGGCCATTTCTAAGAAACATAGGTCTCCTCTGATGGAGACTGTGGCTCTGGCACTCTCCAACTGAACTTTCTTTAGAAAGGCAGGGCAGTCTTAGAGATTCACCGAACCTTTTTTCCTTCGCTCTCTCCCACACTGGGGGGTCAGTCTTACACTGGGGTCTGAAGGCTCTTCCAGCCTCCCCCAACACCCTCCCCATTTTTGCTCATAACAGGTATTTCCCCAAATCAATTCTTACACATTTAATCTGTTCTTGGTATCTCCCTCTCATGGGACCCAGACTAAGCACAGATATTTATTGACCTAAATCTAGTTTATATGTATTCTAAATACAAAGAATATTTTAAAACTGAGGGCACTTGAATCAGTCACATTTACACAATGAAACTCTACTATATGTGGTAAACCCAGAGAAATATGTATACTCTCCCTATAGGATTAAACCAATTCAAATTGGAAAAGTTAACAGCATTTAATAAAACTTCAGTGTTCAGCCTGAATGTATTTCAACATGGCAGAGAAAACCAAAGCTATTCTCATACTAGAGACTGATTATCTCCTAGCCTCATGTGTAAAAGGAGGTGTTCAGATGATACATGTGACAACTTCTACATCTAAAATTCTATGGTTTCCTAAAATTACTTATGAATCAATTTGTTTTTATTTTTTAAGATTCTCTATCTACTGTTGTGGGTGCATGGTGCTCTGCATTTGGTAAATATCTCTTTAACTGAATCTTTAACAGAATTTCAGGGTAGAAAGGGTTCTAAAGTGACTTAATCCACCCTAGGAGATGATATGCATCAGGTTCATTTGACCTAAAGACAGAAAAAAACTGTACAGTGCAAGCTGCTCAGGTATTTTTCTAATAGCCCACGTAAAAATAAACATTTTTAATGCTGGGAGTAAGAAGCAGCTGTGGCCTCTCACCTCTTAAAATCGGTTCACTGCCTTGTTATTTTATTAAAAACACTTCAGAGTGTTGTGAAAATTTGAATTACCTTGTTTTGATTATTTCTGATGTTGACAATATACATTTTTTCCTCTTGGGTTAGATGGGCAAACAGTCTGTCCATTCCAAGCAAGTTAATAGAAAATATATTTTAAATATCCATTAAAGTAAGTATTTAAGGTTCTATAAATGGTAACAATGACTACATGAGGTCAAGTTAGCTAACTTAACCAAAGAAGGAAGTCATTTGGAAATCATGCTGAAGTTAGGGCAGGCTGGTGGAGTGGAGAAAGTATTGGATTAAGAGACAGCCGTGCATGTTTCATTTCAGATTCAGCTTTTTAATAAACTAACTGTGTGACCCCTGAAATGCTACCTACCCTCTCAGGATTTCTGCTTCTCCAGCTGTGAAATAAAGGGTTAGACAAGATGGCTTATGAAGTCCTCCACAGCTGCTTTAGTCCCACGGATTCTGTGTGCACTTTTCTATCACACATGATGACTAACATCAAACTACAGACTCAACCAAAACTGAGAGCTTCTTAGTATTAGAGGAAGAAACCCCAAATGTGAACGATCTGACAAGAAGAAAAAGATCTAGTTCTCTTCTCATTTTTATTTTATTTTATTTTATTAGGATTTTATTTATTCATTTGAGACAAAGAGATACAGAGAGAGAACATGAGCAGGGGAGAGGCAGAGGGAGAGGGAGAAGCAGGCTCCCCGCTGAGCCAGGAGCCAGAAGAGGGGCTTGATCCCAGGACTCTGGGATCATGACCTGAGCCGAAGGCAGACGCTTAACCATCTGAGCCACCCAGGCGACACTCTCTTCTCATTTTAAAAGCATTTGTTGTAACTAGATGCAGTATGAAAGGGAACCAGGATAGAGGAGCCTGGGTGGCTCAGTCGGTTAAGCCTCTGACTCTTGGTTTTGGCTCAGGTCATGATCTCAGGGTCATGAGACTGAGCCCCACGTCTGGCTCCGCACTCTGCTCGGAGTCTGCTTGAGATTCTCTCTTTGCCCCTCTCCCTGTTCTCAATCTCTCTCTAAAAATAAAGTAAAAAAAAAAACAAGAAAAGAAAAGAAAGGAAAGGCAACCAGGATAATTTAAGGAAAAGCAACTTCCAAGCAAACATTCCACTGACGGGCCCTCTTACTGCCTTCTACAGAGCCATTGAGGACTGGAGGATAAAAGCTGTTCTTGTTCCCTTCAGTCTGTTGGACAGAGAGAAGCAGAGCCAAGTGTCAAAGTGTTTCCTGCTCTGATGACAGATGGCCAGGCTTGATGTAGAAGGGCTAAAAGAGACCATATCCCACAGAAGGGCAAAAAAAAAAAAGTGCTCCTGGCTCTCACCATCTCTCTTAACCGTCAAAGCCCTTCACCCACAGAACCCAACATGAATTCCAAACTTTGACCTCAGGTAGCAACTGGCCATTCCCATGAAACACAACTTTCCCTTGTCAGCTGAAATTCCATCCAAAGCTATTTCCTATTCCAAGGTAATGACGTTGTAAGCACGTTGTAAGTCATTCTTTCCAAGTAAGTAAATTTGAAAACTAGAACAGTAGGGTTCCAAAAAAGGCAGTTTCTACCACATTTATGTACCCCAGTTGAGAATTTGTTTGAGCCTTAAGAATGAGGTTCATTCTTTTAAATCTATTCAGGGGGTCTCTGGGCCAGGTAGCCTTAATTAAGTGAAAAATAAGCGTGGTTACTAAAGGAAAAGACAACAAGTAAAAAGCATAATCCCTCTAGGCAAATATGACATTGGGAAACAACCACTATTTATAATAGAATTTGCCACAGGCAGATAGCATCTTATAACTTAGACTTTTGAAAATGCATTTGCAAATTTTCACATCAATATTTACATGAAAATTTACCAGTAAGACATGACACTTGGCACAATGCCTTACTTTGGAAAACATTTTCTACTTAACAAAGATAACATAGATTTCACTTTAAAGCTTAATACTATAAACTTTTTAAAAAATCATTTCCAACCTCCTGCCAAATCAGTATTATTAGTACGTGCATGACTAAGAGAAGCTCAGTCTTCCTAAGACTTGAACTTAAGCAGCCTAACCCGTTAGTAGTAGCATTCAGCATTGAAATAACCAGGAAGAAGGTCATGGCAGCCTTGAAGAATTACTTTCACAGATAAAGGTGCCTCAGTTTATGCAGGAATAGCAAAAGAGCAGCAGGGGAAACACAATCTAGGAAAGGAACTCCATTTTCCAGCAGCAGCTGGTGTTGCCGTGTTAATAGCTTTGCAAGACACTAAAACATAATTTTTGTTGGTAAAGATTATAGTGATAACACACATTGCAACAACTGATTTTTTTCAATTGTATGACGTGGAAACTCTTCACTTCTTTCAAAGCATCAGAAGGATTTTAAACGGCTCCTAATGGCCATAAGTAGTAAGTAACAACTACAGTGGTCAGGGGACATGTAACATCTTTCACTGGCAAAACAAATCATTTTCAAAGGTATTTTTGGTATATACCTAAAAGATATTTACTATAAAGGATAAACTACAAATATTTTTGTAAGTCAAAGAAAATTGCACAAATATTCTTCGGAAGTCTGTTACAATGATTTAAAATACTACTCTGTCGCACATAAAAAATAAGATACAGGCCTACAGTTACATAAGAATTATATAAAGTAACTTCGCAGATCCTACCTTTTTTAGGAACCGGACTCCATAGGTAAATACATAAAGGGAAAATGAAAATCTCCACCTGTAGAAGTTTAAAAAAACATTCTATGACATTCAGTTTATGTATTTCACAGTATAGTATTCTGAAACATGTGAGTGAAAAAAAGTCCATTAAATTTGCAATCCCGCCCCCACCCCGGGCCCCACCACTCCAACCAGGGATTAAGTTTAATGGGCAATTTCAGTGTTAGCTAAACACATGTGCATGGTTTCCTGCAAAATCTTAAATATTAATAATTCATAACAAATTTTCTTCCAGTTACTGTATTTGCCCATCTGTTCATCTTCTCTCTCCAACATGTGCATTTCCTCTTATTAATCGCTCATGAAGGAATACAGTTCAACAATACAAAGGTACACAGATTGTTTTGAATTCCTTGTCTAATTCAGATATTAATAAATAAGTTAACTGAAGTTCATACTTGTTTAAAAAATAAAAGCCTTAGTATTTTTAAATCAGGTAAGATTTTTTCCTTCATCTTTTAACAAATACTTATCGACATCTTTGTGGATGTTGCTAAAGGAACTCACTTGGAATCTAAGTTATCCACCTGATATACGACTGTTAACGACAACCTTATACCACCCCAAACCATACATCTAGCTGTTAGTTGGACTTTCATTTTTTCAGTGAGGAAAAACATTTTTGGTTCTCTTTCAATTTTAAATGATTCAATGTTTAAGTCTTAAAATATAAGACTTTATATGGACAGTGGTGATGTTTGCAGGAGGAAAAAAAAAGTTGAAGCCCTACTTTTTACCCTATACAAAGATGAACCGCACTTAGATGTAGGACCTAAATTTGAAAGGTGAAACTGTAAAGCTAACAGAGGAAATTGCTGGACGAGATCTTTGCAATTTGGGAATAGCCAAAAACTTCAAAATAAGACCTTCAAGACCTCAACTTAGGAAGAAAATTCATGCCTTTGAAATCAAAATTAAAGATTTTGTCAAATGGCTTTCATAGATAATAAACAGATAATAGATTAGGTTTTTTTTTTTACAGTATCAAAAATTACTGGGACAATGGAACACATTAAATATGAATCTTAAATTAGACATCAGTGTTATTTAAATGTTAAATTTATTGAGTGGGGGAACTGTATTACAGTCTATGTAGGAGAATGTCCTGTGAAATATTTAGTGGTGAAGTACCTGAAACTTTAAAAATCTGTACATAAGACTTTGTATAAAGACTTTATATAAATTATATAAATTACATATTATATGTATATATGGTTTACCCTAGTACTCAATTCCCAATTTTACTTCTTATATTTTCTGGGTGTGAATAGCTATGCCTTTAAAGTTTCATAATTAGCATTTCTGAGGTTATGCTGTTAGTAGTTCTATGGGTTACAAGTTATAAATGAACACAAGGGAGAAAGGGGCTAGTCAACTTCAATCTGTCAGGAGGCAAATTGCTTTATGTGTTTGCAAGCCATGTAAAATTTTCAAATAAGGTAAAAAAAAGGCGGGGAGGGAAGGGAGGGAGAGGTGATTTTAGGAGATGATTCAAATTTTAGACAAAATATTCTGGAAAAAAAATGACAGTTTCTGAAGGTAAGAGGAAAAGAATAATGATGGGGGGCCTCTGAGAGCTGAGTAAGGCCCAAGAGCAGACACAAATGTCCCTCAGAGTTTCATTCCTGGGCTGACTGACCTTTCAAACATCCTGGAATTCAAACCAGAACTAACATTTAGAGAAGAGCTTTGAACTTCAGGGTTGAAAATCTTCAACTAATAATTCATAAAACTGAATTCAGGAAGAAACGATAAAAATGGATGGAAGCAGTATAATAGTTCAACGAAAACTTGCAAATGATATAGAAAAGCCCTCTTGTAAGTGAAGTTGGTTCACTTACTGCAGCATCAAAGTCAAGGACTTAATTTTAACTACTTCTCCGTTACTGATTTTTGGTGGTTGTGGATAAGAGTTGTCTGTATGTTTCCTTCTGGATGTACAAATTCTAGATCAGAACTGAAGACCAGGAACCAGAGGTGACGACCACAGGGTCCCATGCTTGGTTTTAATATTTTGCTGGCACTATCTTGAAATTCTTCGTAATTGTTGAACAGGAGACCCCACATTTTATTTTGCACTGGGCACTGCAACTACATAGCTGGTTCTGATTCAAACACAGAGAATCTCCTAACTTTGGGCAAATCTATTATTCTTTGACCTCAGTTTTCATCTCTATAATGGGAGAGCAGGTTTACAGTACACTCTTTTGATATTACAACCCAAGGATTTGGTGGCACAAGTAATCTCCACTTCCCAATGTATGAAACCAACCTACTTCACGCATATGCAGGTCACTTTTCTGGCCTCTGAAGGCAAGTGAATTTGCAACTCCCAGATTAAATGATTTACAGCTGTTTCAGCTCTAAAACTCCTCTGTTAGTAGTCAGTGATCAGGCAATTTTATGTATAATAAAAACTTTATGGAAGTCATTGGAATTCCTATAATCACTTAATGCACCTACCTTTTATTCCCTCACTAAATTGACCCAGTTTTCCTAAAACCTAGGTTCTAATACAGGACACCAATGCCTCCATCATTTGAATAACAATTTGTGATGAATAATTACAAGACAGAGCTTATTTCCACAAAATATCGGCAGGAAGCAAAATTTTCAAGCATTCTGCCACATGCATAACTTTTTTTGTGTAGTTTCATATAAGTTACAGTTTTAAATGATGTCTAGCTACAGTCTTCTGATGGATAGCCTCCACCAACTTCCCACTAAAATACCTATAAAACAAGAGGTAAATAAAGGTGCGTGCAACTGCAATATATATATAAAACCTTCAACCTACTGCAAGAATCAGAGAATTTCATGGCAGAAAACAAACAATAAAATTAGATTTTTAAAATGTAATTCAAGGCAGAGAAAAGCAAGCTATGAGTCCTAAAGGAAGTAGGAAAATCTTAGCATATCTCCCTTTCTCTGCTTTCTACTATCTCGGATACAAATGCAACAATCTGTATGGTCAGAAACCTGTTCTCTATCAAGAATGAGGCTTTTTGGGGCAGAAGGAGAGTCCCCCCACCCTATCATTTAGTGACTGCTACTTTTCAAAGGTAAGTGGGAAGAAAGGGAAATATGTAGCACCCTGGAGTTTCAGTTGCAGAAAGGCAGATTTAGAGACAAGATGATTTATGGTGATATATCTTCTGGGTGTTGGAGTCATTAAATAATCCACATAGAGAGTATGAAGAACAAGGCATTGGCAATTGCTGCTTTATATGAAACTCTTCTAGACCACTGAAAATAGGCCAGGGCCTGCAAACGTCAACTGCTACAAGGTCTGAGATCTAAAAGAGGACTTTTACTAAGGAAACAAGAGGACGACAGAGAGAGGGTGGGACCCAGGGCAATCCATGCACCCTCTCTGTGAGCAGGTCTAAACGGATATTGCCAAATTCAGAAACGAAAATTAGAGCTAAATGTCAACATAGGTCTACCAAGAAGTAGTGCATAAATATGGAAAGAAAAGAGCATGCTAAAGAGTCAAAGACCTGTCTCCTAAAAACAACTCCCTAGAGGAACCACATGTAATTTTTAGAAAAGTATTTGGCATTGTTAGTACGATACAAAAAGACGTATCCCTTAAAGACCAAAGTAGAAAGCCATAATCAATAAAGGACTACTGGGTATGATAAAAAAAGAATCTAAGTGAAATAAAGAAGCAGTACAAAGATTCTAAAAATGAAGTGACAGAATATTACCCACACAGGGGGAGAGAGAAAAATGGAGATGTGTACTACATAAAGTTAAATTATTGATGTAGAAGACAAACACCCCCATATGACCAGAGAAAAGAACCAATAGATGAAAGAAGGCTAGATCTGAAGGACCAGAAAAATCAAGTCTAATTATAGTTGTTTCTGAGAAAACACGATTGCAGAACTGAAATAGAATAATCAAAGACAGTAAAAAAAGAAAATCTGAACAGAATAAAAGAGGACTAAATTGTATTCAAATAATAGCAATTCAAAGCCACATTCTGACAAAAGTTTTGAATCCTTGGGTTAAAATAAAAAAAAAAAATCTTCAGTACCAGGCATAAAAGCAAAAACAAGTCAACACAAAAATCAAATGAAAGTAAGCCACCATCAAAGAAACAAATGTCCAATTGGTCTTAAATATCTCCTCTGGATTACTAAACTACAACAGAAAGAGAAGACTCAATCAGAGCTAGCCACTGCCAGCCAAACTGCCTTTTACTTGTGAAGGGATAGGAAAAGCAGTCTCTCATAGTCCAAAGCTCCGAAAATACAGTGCTTATTAACCTGTACTAAAATATTCCTTAGCTTAATTCCAACCCATCAAAATACAAATAAAAATTAAGAATTCAAAAAGCCTAATTTTGGAATAAAAGAACTAGGGTTAGTAACAAAAATAACTGCCCTAAATTTCATGGCCAAATTAAATGCTATTGCCCTTCAGGGACAATGTAATTAATATAAAATATTTAACAATAACCAGGGGATAAATCCTTAGATTATACTAATGAAAGGAGGGGATGGAGAAGTGAAGCATTAAACTTATTCGTACAGAGAATTTCAAAAGACACTGTTGTTACGGTAATAATAGAAATATAGTTACAGAAGGGTTTTTTTTTTATTTTATTTTATTATGTTGTTAATCACCATACATCACATCATTAGTTTTGGATGTAGTGTTCCATGATTCATTGTTTGTGCATAACACCCAGTGCTCCACGCAGAACGTACCCTCTTTAATACCCATCACCAGGCTGACCCATCCCCCCACCCCCTCCCCTCTAGAACCCTCAGTTTGTTTCTTAGAGTCCATAGTCTCTCATGGTTCGTCTCCCCCTCCGATTTCGCCCCCTTCATCTTTCCCTTCCTGCTATCTTCTTCTTTTTTTTTTTTTTGACATATATTGCATTATTTGTTTCAGAGGTACAGCTCTGTGATTCATCAGTCTTGCACAATTCACAGCGCTCACCATAGCACATACCCTCCCCAGTGTCTATCACCAGCCACCCCA